CGACTGTCGCTGCAGGACAGTCTGACGCAGAGCGAGCAGCAGCGGGACAAGGTCAGTACTGCGCCAGGCTCGTCCGAACCGCGCCAGGGTCGTCCTAGCCGCACCAGGCTTGTCCGAACCGCGTCAGGCTCGTCCGAGCCGCGTCAGTCTCATCCGAGCCGCACCAGGCTTGTCCGAACCGCGCCCGCTGCAACACTTAAGTGCGCGTTTGCTGCCTCAGCTGAGCTGATGGTGTGGGGTTCCAGCCTCCGTGAGTGTGGTGTATGTACGGTTTCTACCGTTTGACCTCAGCTCCGTCACCTGACACGACCCGTGTCTTCGAGCGCCTGACCAGATGTGTGAGCTCGTGATCCTTCAGCTCCTCGCCCGACCTGACATGACCTGTGCCAGCAACGGGATGGCCAAACGGCCCGTGACGACCGTGACGATGGCCAAACGTCTGTGTGACCGTGACATCTGTGCTCCGTGACCCCGTGTGATCTCAGCTCCGTGACCCGTGTGACCTCAGCTCCGTGACCCCGTGTGACCTCACCTCCGTGACCCCGTGTGATCTCAGCTCCGTGACCCCGTGTGACCTCAGCTCCGTGACCCCGTGTGATCTCAGCCCCGTGGCCCCGTGTGATCTCAGCTCCGTGACCCCGCGTGACCTCGGCTGCGTGGCCCCCCTGTCCTCAGCTGGATGACCAGGTGTCTGAGCTGCTGGCCGACCAGTCGGAGCTGGAGAGCCGGCTGGCGGCGCTGGAGCGGCAGCGTGCCGCCCAGCAGGAGGAGCTGTCGCGCACCAGACTCGACTACGAGCGCGCCAAGGCCGAGATGAACCGGACGGCCAGCGAGCGCGAGACGCTGGCGCGCGCTTCCGGCGAACTGCAGGTCCGTCAGAGGGACGGGACAGAAGGCGCCTCGGGGGGGGGGGAGGGGTGGTAGAGAGGCGTGAGGTTCTGAACTCGCTGTCCCTCGGAGACAGGGGAACGGCGCAGCGAATTGGACGCGCGATGTGACGTGTACTCACTGTGTCGTGCGGTGGCCAACTGACCGGCGCTGTATGGTCAGAGCTCGGTGGTCCTGTGACGTCTCCGTGCGGTCGTGAGGGAGCCGCGCCGAGGTCTGGCGGCGCTCGGCCGCCGTGTCGGGTGGGCGCACGCCTCGGTCTGACCGCCGCCCGCTCCACAGGCTCGCCACGCGGCCCTGCAGAAGGAGCAAGCCAGTCTGCGCGAGGTGCTGGCCGCCGTGAGGGCTGAGAGTCAGCACGCTGAGGTACCGGCGCGCGGCGGCACGGCGCAGGCCGAAGGCTCCAGTCGCAGGCAGACTGCGCTGGCGATGGCCGACAGGCGCACCGAGCTCTTCACGGTGCCGGTCGCTGAGGGCTCGAAGGAGTGGAGCAAGTTGTCGGCGTCGCTCAAATGGATGTATGTCTTAGAATGCTGTGATGAGCCGTGATCTTGCTCCTCAAGACGGCGGCGTGATCTGCTCAAGCAGAGGTGTACGGGAGAAAACGTTCACGGGAAGGCGTACGAGCCGGAATGTCATTAGAAGCTTTATTCATCATGGACAATATACCGGATGACACGTGAACTGGGTCGGTAGATGCAACTTTACGAGAAGAGCTGCGCCCTGGAGGCAGCCGAGACGGCGCGCCGGCAGCTGGAGAAGGACAACAAACAGCTGACCCTGCGGCGGGAGGAGGTGCAGAACCAGCTGAACCTCGCCCGGCGGGACATGGACCAGGAGGGCGGTGAGTCGAGATGTCGTGCGAATGGTGCGCGCGCTGCCGGCAACAGTACAGAAATACCGAGTGCTGTCTCAGGTGTTTTGATTCTACATGGGCATCTGTGTTTTAAAACTGTGAGCGCCGGTAAAGCAATGTATGGCGGATGTAGCAGCCGACGTTGAATTGAGAACATTCACATTCTCGACCTAGGAGGGTCTGGGAGGAAACGAATACAAACGCTTGTCCATCCTGCGTGATTGGTCTGCCCGCGGTCACGGCGGTCACCTTGCACCGGGGCTGCGGGAGGTGTGTGTTGTAATGAGGGCAGACGTTCCGTGGCCAGCCCGCCTTGTGACCGCCTGTCCGAGCTGAGCGGTCGTCGCCTGTTGGCCACAGGGCAGCTGCGTGAGAAGTGTGACGAGCTGCAGCGCAGGCTGGAGGCGCGCACCGAGCAGGCCCGTCTGCTCTCCAGTCAGCAGCACCAGCACGATGTGGAGGCGGCCCGGCTCACGCGCGAGAAGGTGACTTCTTCTCTCTTTCGGCCCTTCTCTTGTGCTCCTTCGGCCTATTTATGTATAGGGTACCTCCTTCTGCAACGCGTCGCGCGCGCGTGCTTTTGGGCGCACAGGATAGACGCTGGGTGTCCGCTGAAGCATTCATCCGCCCGCGTGCCAGAGGAGCCACGTCTGAGGGTCTCCCTGGAGGCTGTTCGCACCGTGTCTGGCCGGTGTGTCCTGCTGCGCGCCGACGACCGCCACGTCCCGGTCCTCGGTGTGGCGACCGCTCCGCCGGGGCGTCGCTGACGAGCTCTGAGCGCCGGTGGCCGCTGACGCCCCCCTTACCCCTCACCGCGGTAGGAGGAGGCGGTGCGTGCGCTGGAGTCGCAGCTTCAGAAGTCGGCACACGCCTGGAGCCGCGAGCAGGACGACCTGCTCGGCCAGAAGAAGCAGCAGGTGCAGGCGCTCCAGCGCGAGCTGGCGCAGCAGGCGCGCGCCGGCGAGGCGCAGCTGCTGGCGGCCGAGGAGAGCAAGCAGCAGGCGCTGACGCTCGGTGTGTGACCTTTGTCCTTCTCGTCCTCTTATCACACCCGTCAGTCGCGGTGCCAGTTGAAATGACTGTGCAGACCGATGCTCTGTGTTTTGGATCATCGGTGATTTATGCCATGTGTTCAGGAGCCCCTGCGCTGTGCATGCCTGAACTTTGTCGCCTTGTGCCCTGATCTTCCACGTGCTCTAGCCCTCTTGGCGCTGAGGCATTCCTGTGCTGTGGCATTATTCCTGTAGTTTGGACCCCTGTTCTATGACATTACTGATATGTTCACCGGTCTGTGCTCCAGTGCTCTGCTCCTCCCGCTGCGTCCCAGTTTATCCTCGTGCTCTACCTTCTCGTACCGCTGCCGCCGCCGCCGCCGCTGACGACCTTTGGACTGTCCGTATGCAGCGCAGCAGGAGCAGCAGGCGGTGCATCAGCGGCTGCAGCAGGCGCAGCAGCAGCTGGAGGAGCACCGAGCCGAGCTGGAACGGCTGCGGGGCGAGGCCTCCTCGCACGGCCAGCTGTCTCGCTCCAGCGTCGGCGCCCTACACACGGACATCTCCCGGCTCCGCACGCAGATGGAGGACAAGGCGTGAGGGCGGCGTACTGGGCCCGCGGACAGGCCGGCATTTGGGTGATGACTTTGGTTCCTGAATAGCGCGGTGTAATCAGATGCGGACAGAAACGCGTAGCTTGTGCTGGAGCCTATCTTGAATGTTGTACAGGCCGATGTCAGGACAGCGGCGAGAGGGCTGCAGCGTTGTGGATTGCTTGAGGCCCGGCAGCGTTGTGGATTCGTGTGTGGACGTCGAATGAGGCAAGTAAGAATGGGTATGTGCCACCGCGGCTCTGTCTTGTGACGCGATCCCTAGATGTGACGGTATTCTGCTGCGGTCTGCCGCTGTTTTGTATGCGTACCCGGCTGCCGTGGGGCTAAGTGTTCCTCGCAGGCCGATATCCGTACTCTCCCCGGCAGGATCACCCACGAGAAGGAGGTGGCGTCACTCTCCCATCAGATCCTGGACGCGCAGCGCCAGCGTGACTTGACGGACGCGGCGCACGGCCAGGTCAAGGTCAAGCTCAAGGTCACGGAGGAGCACCGCGATAGGCTGGAGCGTGACCTCACCGAACTCAACCGCAAGCTGAGCGAAGGTGCCGCGGGGGTCACATATGCTTTGCTTAGCGGGCCCGGGGGAAACAGTGCTCTCCTTTGTGAGGTCATGTTTTGTGGGACATCCATTTGGCTGAGCTGAAATTGGGCATTGGTATTCTGAGATGGGGGAAAATCAAAGTGATGACGGCGCGTACAGTGGTATGCTCATCCTGATCGGCTACAGTGGTGAACTAGTGCACGACACTCGTAATGCATCAGTGCATCGTGCACTGGCGCATCACTGTGCGCTGTGACGGCACATTGATAATCCATTAGAAAGGTATCTTATGTTAGGTTTGATGCAAGCAGGAGCCCTATAGATGCGCTGGGCTTGGGAGCCCCTGCCTGCAAGATATTGCAATGCCATTAAAACATGATCATCCACCAGTGGACCTACTCGTCTTCGGCTGATTCAACAATGTGGCTCTGCTTAACTTGCGCTCGGTACTTTCAGCCTCGTGCCTCTATTCCACATGTATGTATTCCGTTCCAGTGGAGACCCAAAACGCTGACTGCAACCGCTCTTTGGCGGACACCAAGCGGGCTTTGCAGAGGCTGAACATGAGCTGGCAACGCTAGATGGCATTAACGGCGAGCTGCGCGACAAGATTAAACGGCTCGAGGCTGAGAAGGGTGAACTCAAGCGGGTCCTGGACGAGGCCAACCAGAGAATAAGCAGTGAGTGGGTTTTTGGTTCAGTAGGTAACCTTCTGCTTGATATGAGGAAGCTGGATTCAAAATAACCCAAATATGTGAAGTGTATTTGACTTGTATCGCTTATCACCTGGTTCAAAACATGTCCGCCGTTGTGCTGCAATCACCTGTAAATTTTCACGCATCACGCCTGCGTATAAAATGCCACAGCTTCTGGAATATAATGTGTAATCCCGCAATCAACACCAGCGATCTCAGGTCCAGCCCTTACCGAGAATAGCAGTCCGCCGGTAATCCTATATGTTACATCATGACAGACATGGACGTGTTCCGCATTTGTCCACACATGGGACTGTGGCCTCCGGAGACCGGTGGGGTTGGCCACAAACGGGCTCGTGACCCGGTTCTATCGGTCAGCCAGCTTCCTGGCACCACCCCGGTGCGAACCCACGGAGAAGGTCCCGACTCTAGTCTGACTGTCCGTCCGCCGTACCGCGCGGCACGCGTCCGTCACGTCAGGGCCCTGAACCGGCCCGGGTCTGCCGGCATACGGCCTCGGTGATAGATTGCGAGTGACGTCACGGTGCCGCGAACGCCAGCCGTGCTGTCTCCCGTCACGTGACACCGGCGCGCTGCGCAGTTCTGGACGGCGCGCAGGAGAGCTCGGCCAAACAGAGCCACGAGCTGCGCACCCAGCTGCGCGACCTGGAGCGGGCGCAGCTGGAGTCGACGCGCGAGCTGCAGGAGCTGCGCCACCAGGCCAAGCAGCTGCAGCTGCTCAACCAGCAGCGGCTGACCGAGCTGACTGACAGCAGGCAGCAGCTGGCGCGCCAGCAGGACGCCAACGACACGCACAAGAACGACATCCACAACCTGCAGGTCCAGGTGGGCGGCTGTCGCTGCTGCGGCTCGGATGGGTGATGGGCCGTTTGTCGGGCGCTGGGTCTGCCGGGCCCTCCGTGGTCATTCACTATGGTCTGATGAGCAGGCACCACTACGTGGACGGCCTCCGTGCTCCAGTGTCCGGTCCGCACTGAGCCGGATTAAGGAGTAACATTTGCTCCAAGGCATCTCTTTTTGCCTTCCTGGAAGTGACGACTGCCTGAAATCATTGTGAGGCGGGGTCGAGCCCAGATGTCACTGATGGTTCACTGGCCTCACCGCTGCTTTCGGAGCGCACCAGCTGATGTGACGCTGCCGTCGCCCGTGCGGCTCTGCACAGATGCGGGACCTGGAGGCGGTGCGAGAGGGCCTGCAGAAGCAGCTGGCCGAGGCCGAGCGGCGGCTGGCCGAGCTGCAGGAGAAGGCGCGCTGGCGGGAGCGGGACCTCTCGGCCGCCCTGGAGGAGTGCCGCGCCACCGGTCACCGGCTCGAGGAGGACAAGGAGAACCTCGAGATCCGACTGAGCGCCTCCAGCCAGGAGGCCACCGACCTCAAGGTGCGCCTGGTGGCCTGGGCCCGTGACTTTAGCCTGGCGGTTCGACTGCACTGCAGGTGATGCGGTGTTTGCGTGGAGTTGTGCTTGGAGCACCGTCGACAACCAACGATTGGACTAAGCTAAGAAATTTAACACAGCCGGTCGCAGCATGGGCTGGGTTCATGTCGCCATCGGCTGTAACGCCGCGCTCCCGGAGTCCAGGCCTGTCCGGCAGGTTTAGTTCATGATCTGTCCACCGCTGGCTGGCTGGCGCTGTCTGGTGCGGCTGTTTCCCGACCGTTGACGTTGTTGTGGCTGTGGCGCCGCAGCTGAAGCTGCTGTCGGCCGAGGGCCGGGCGGAGACGCTGGAGGGTCAGGTCGGCCGCCAGGAGGCCACCCGCCGTGACCTGGAGCACAAGCTGGCCGCCCTGTACTCGTCGCTGCGGCGCGTGGTCGGCATGCGGCTGGACGGCGGCGGCAACGGTGGCGGCCCGGTCTGGCGGCGCCCTGCTCCGCCCGCCACCGCAGGTCAGGCGCCGCACGCACTGCCGGCCGGCAGACCGTCGCCTGGGCACCACCACACGCAGAGGGGCGCGGCTCCACCGTGCCGAGTGTTGCTAATAGCTCACGTTTTGTTATTTTGCGATACAGCTGTGTGTGTGCGGAAGTGCTGTCTGTTTACTTATGTTTGTGGCCTTTTTTGTCGCACGATTTGCTTCCAGCCATGCATGACTTCGCTGCCAGTCTGTGCCCGTTTTCATTGGAGTTTTTTTTTAGTGATGGATGAATGTGTATGTGTATTTGGTTTTAGACGTTGAATGTGTATATATTTGGTTTTAGACGTAGAGAGCCCGAATCTGTCCATCACTCAAGACGAGCTTTGCTCTCTGATTATCTCGATGGAAGAGCAGTCCCCCGCCGGACCCGACTCCCTCCGCTGGTACGTACCGCTCCGTCTACCTCCGACCCCGACCCCGTGGTGACCCCGGGCGTGTTCCCGGCTGCCCCCCCCCCCCCCTACTTGGACGGATCGGTGGTGCTGCGAGTGGAGAGCCAGGAGTCGTAATCCACGATCTACTACGAGACCCGAAGCTGAGTAGAGGCTCAAATGTCGCTCTTTATGGCTGTGGGCCCCTGCTCTACTGGAGAAAGAAAACAGGGAGTCAGACCGAAACAGATGATGCAGACGAATTAACGAGAACGCCGGCGGAATAGATCAGACGCTCCATGGCTCAGTGTGTCGTCACCTGACCCGATCCGTCTCGGCGGCAGGGTCAGCCGACCTGCTGGACGCGGCGCCGGCCGGCCCGCCGCCCAACGCCGTCGACGTCGACCCGGAGTTTGTGCGCCAGGGCCTGAAGGATCTGATGCAGCAGGTGGCGCGTGTGGAGCGGCAGCGGGTGAGGCCGCGCCCGGGGCGTCACGCCGCCGCCATCACGCCGACCAGATGACTTGCGACTGGTGGGAGCAGCCGTGCGGTGGTCTGAACTAGAAAACGTGCTGAGGACTTCAGCTGGGGCCGTGTGTGTGTTTACCGCCACGCGGTCATTGTGCATGCTCAGTTTCTGTCGCGTTTTACAGCTCTGAGCGCATCTTTTGGTGAGCATACGGTTGACCCGCGTGGCCGTGGTGTTCGGCATTGGCGAGGCATCGTGTCCATTCCCCGCGTGCCACCACGTGCGTGTACAGCCCAGCGCGGCCGCCACCCCCGCCATCGCTAACCGCAGCTTCATGCCCAGGACGAGGCGACGGCGCGCTGCCAGAGCCTGGAGACGGAGCTGGAGGAGCGCGGTACCGGACAGCGGCAGGCGCAGCAGCGGCTGGAGCGGGCGCAGCAGGAGCTGGCCGCCGCGCAGGCACAGCGCCGCCTCCTGGAGACCCAGCTGGCCGCCGGCCGCGCCCAGGCCGGCAGTCAGGTGCGCGGCCGCTGCCGGCGTCCCCTGTCGGGCTGACGTCACTCCCCGGCGCCGCCCTCTCTCCTCACTCTCTCCTCACTCCCGCCGCCCGCCCGTGTGCCCACGCCGCCGGCCGTTCTGGCGCCGGACGGAGCCGTCACGCTGCCGCACTGCATGGCGCCAAAGTCCGTCCGTAGTCCGGGCTTGCGGGAAGGCTGGGGGAAAATTATTTTCCGAACTGCAATTTCAATCACTGGGGGTTGGCAGCACACATAGCAAGCTGTGCTTCGCATATAAAAGCTCTGGTACAAGCGAAAGGTGCGAAAAATTTGGAGTGCGTTTGTCATTGCATTGCCTCAGTATCGGTGCCAGGTATCGTCACCTTGTTACTCGCATTGTCCCCCTGCTGTCAGCTGTTTCACATGGCGCGCGGTCATTCGCCAGTTTGCGTGTTCCGCTTAACCATGTGCGCTTCCGCTTGACCATGTGGTGCCGCCGAGCCTGGCTTGGGCGGTCCATCGGCTGATCGTCCCGGCTGATCACTGGTCGGGTGGCAGGCGGTCCTCCCGCCGCTGGAGGGTGTGCGCCTCGCTGACCAGCCCCGCTCTCTCTCTCCCCCACATGTCAGGAGGAGGCCAACAAGAAGCGGGAGCGCGAAACCAAGGCCCTGCAGGAACGGCTGGTGCGGCTCGAGACGGCCAACACCAAGCTTCAGCTGGAGAAGGAGGTGCTGGAGGTGAGGCTGCTGGACGGACTGCGCACTGGTGTCTGGGCGGCGCTACTCACTGCAGTCCGCCGGCCGACTTGTTCGTTGAAGCCTGTGAGGCTGGCTGCGCACCGAGCTGCGGGTCCGGCCGTCTCTTTGTGGTGTGCGCGTGCCGGCGCCGCGGAGATGATCAGGCAGGCAGCACACCACCCTCCATCGGCGTGTCACGACGGTGGCCCGCGCGCAGCACCGAGCCATGACCAGTGACGCCCCCCCCCCCCCACCCCACCTCCTTCCCTTGCCCGTGTGACCCGGTGCTGGCGGCCCGCGCAGGACAAGCTGGGCATGCTGCGCAGCCAGGAGAGCCAGCAGGAGGAGGAGCGACGCGCGCTGCGCCACAGCCTGGAGACGGTGGAGGCGCGCGCCGCCCAGCAGGAGACGGCGCGGCGCGCGCAGGAGGCCGAGCTGCACCGCTGCCAGCGGCTGACGCTGGACAGTGACGCCCAGCTGCAGGTGGGTGCAGGCCCGGCCGGTCGCCGCAGATCTCTCTATGTGTGCTCAGCGTCAGCTCCGTCGCGTAGCGAAGTAAACCCGTAAGCACTTCTGGTAACCAATTGTGTTCATAAAAACACATAATGCCGGTGTGTGTGTGTGTGTGTGTGTGTGTGTGTGTGTGGTGTGTGGTGTGTGTGTGTGTGTGTGTGTGTGTGTGTGTGTGTGTGTGTGTGTGTGTGTGCCCGCGCGCGCGTGCGTGCGTGCGTGCGTGCGTGCGTGTGGTGCGGGTACGTTGGGTGCGTTCCTTAAAACAATGACGGTCGAGAGTAATGAATACAGTTGCCAGATAATAGGATACTCAGCTTAGCTAGTCGTACAGGATGTAGTTTCCTATTTAGACGGAGGGGAGTTAGAAGGCGGAGCGCCCCTGGCCCCTGGTACCAGAATGCAGAGCCCAGCCCACCACCATGCGTGTCACCATGAAACTCAACACCAGCCAGCGTTTTCCCCATAGCTCATGCCCCAAGGCTCAAGCCCTTGAATCCCCCACGCGAAGGAACCCCACCTACCGCTTATGCAAAGCGTAACACTCTATACGCAATCGAAAATATGCCGGAAAAACTTGACGATCTCTAAGTTAAAGGGAGTGTTCGAAACGATGTCTAAGTGAAAGGAACTGTTCGAAATTTGAAGATTTTGAAGGAAACATGAGATATGGAGTAAGCTCCCTGATACCTATTAGGTATACTCTAATTGTAGATGACTGCTCTAGACCGTCATTGTTTGGCTGCGTACTGGAACGTTTGTATGACGAGGTGCCGCCAAACTAGCCGTCCGAAATTGCCGTCGTAGCACTCTCTTATAGTATTCCAATCTCGAGAGGTGGCGGTGGAGGTGCTGGAAGTGTGCTGAACCAGATACCGTTGTGTGCTCGTGTTTTGGCCTTTTCTCGCGATGTTCTTGCGTAGTTATTCGTGAGTTTAAGATGTGTACTTGTATTCACATACTCGATCATGACGCCATTCTGGAGTTATTCGATTATATGTCTAGTTTCCGTAATAACTGGCTATCATGTCCAACTTTTTATATTATGTAGAATGAAAAACTTGATCCCCGTCGCATTCGTCCTCATCTCCATCTTCTTTGTATCGTCGTGTGTGGTTGATTGTCTGGGGTAGGCTGCATGCGTTAGCTGCGAGTGAGCCGAGAGGTCCCGTGGGAGGCGGGCCGCAGCCGGATACTTAGCGCACATGCGAGGGTGAAAGCTTAGCGGTTGGCTCCCTCCCTCAAACGCATGCTAGTTTGCCCCACCGGCAATCATTTTTCTTTATTCTTCGCACTGCTCTGAAATGGCGATGTGTGATCGAAAGGGCTGTATTCCAAACTAGATCCGGGCCGGATTATCTTTTCATTACTCTCGCTATATCTGAAAATCCTCGCGACGTCCGCGCTTGTCCGAGGGCAGGTGAATTGGAATGACCTATGAAATTGCAGGATTCGAATTTCGTGTTCTATGGTGGTATGCATACCTGAATGACTTTGAAATAGTTTACACATCTGTCGCGGCCGTTTACCTCAAAACTAGGAGTCTTTAGGGCCTTTAGAAGGGGCAGGATTATGATCTGCATAGAATAATCTTCGAAGTGGCCAATTCATTCAAAAACCCCGATACAAATGTGGAACACTCCATTTAAAGGGCGAAAATTCCATGAAAGTTAGCGATTTTGTGAATAGGCGTTGGCGTCAACAAAATCGTTAATATCCGTTGAAAGATTATTTCAGTGATATGACGGATGAACTGTTGAAGGATGTGTGCACACCTCTGGCTTTCACCCGCGCCCCGTAAATGTGTCTGCACTATCGCTCAGGATCGTTACGAGCAACAGCCCCCCCCCCCCCTCCCCCGACGGAGGCGACGGAGGCAGCATGAATAACCGAAATTAACACTTTATCTTAAAATTTCGAAAACAACTTTACAGGCGAAGATATTTGTCACAATATAGGAGGTGGATCAAGATCAAATAGGATTGCCTTGTGCCACTGTGCCAGGGTGTTGCTAATGATTCCGGAAATACGGTTTGTCAAGTTTGGTACCATTACATTTGCAGAGGCCCTGCACCACTTTCGAGCTCTTTTTATTCTCGCTTTACGGGGCGTGCGGGCTTAAATGGGACACCTCTGGGGCGCAACAGCTGACGACTGCATAATGTGCAGAGGGCTCTGTAGCCAGTCAGTAAGATGTGAAAGGGCCTTAGCTTCCTGGCTGTAAATCCAAAACGCTCATGAAGACAGTGCCACCTTCCCACATGTTGGTGCATTCCATGCTTTCGACCATATTCGTATTTGGAGTCATATCGCAGGGCGCTCGAGCTGGTCGAGCGCAACAGTGCGAGCTCCTCGCGCCCAGTGTGACAGGCGTCGCTTCGGACGCCGAGCGGCGCACCCCTGCTGGTCGTGGGCTGGTCAGGTCCCGAGCCCAATCTACTGGTCCGACAGAGGCCCACACTCCGTAGCTCCCAGCGCTGCAGGCCACTGGATCACGTCGACTGTAGCTCGTCCGCTGTCTCTGCGGCGCACGGTCCGCACGCACCTCCGTCGGCGGGCGGCCCTGGCCGGTCCGCCGTCGGCGCCGTGCCCGACGGATGGCACCGGCCTGGCCGGTCCGCCGTCGACGCCGTGCCGGACGGACGACGCCGCGCCGCCCCTTCCCTCCACGTCGGCCACCGAGTCGGGCAGACCGGGCGCCGTGCGTCTCCGGCAGCAGCAACGTGGCCAGACCGGCCAATAGCGTGGCGGCACCAACACGGCTGGACGGCGCGCTGGCCTGCAGCTCGCTCACACAGGTCCCACCACGAACGGCTGAGACCGTGGCGCCCAGCCGCAGCGCCACCTGGCACACGCCGAACCCGACAAGCACGCGCGCACGTTGGCATGGTACTCGGGGCGAGTAAGCGAACAGTATGTTGAACGCCATGCTGACGCTGAGCTGGCCGACCAGGCCGAACGCCAGCCGCACCGGCGGATGGCTACGGCGAAGATGACGAGCATGGCGGCGGCTGAGAGAACAAGCAGAGGCGGCCGTGGGCCCGCGGCGGCCCAGCCGGTCGATGATGGGGAAGTAGAGGATGGCAGGGCAGATTGAGCAGGCCGAGGAGCACGCCGGCCAGGTGCGGCTGCCGACTCAGCTGCGTCATGTCGAACGCGATGCCGAAGTACGCGCCGGCGACGACGAACCAGACGAAGGCGCTGACCAGTGTATTGCGCCGCATACGGGGCGTCCTGATCAGCTGCAGCAGCTGGCTGAGGAGCCGGCTGCAGCGGCCCGCCGGTATCGCGCCTCTGGCGCCGGCTTGCCAAACTGTACCCGCGTCATCATTTTCAGCACGACGTCCCGCGGCGGCATGGCGGGCGCCGTTCCAGCGGGCGGCCGCCGCCAGCACGTCGTAGGCCTCGGGTTGGCCGGCCGCGCATGAGCAGCCAGCGCGGCGACTCGGGCATGAGCCAGATGTTCGGCAGCAGCGCCAGACAGGGCACGGCGTAGACCAGCTGCAGGAGCCGGCGGTTACGCACGGCATAGGACAGCGCCGCCATCAGCGCCGTGCCCACCGGGAACGGCAGGAGCGTGAACGCGCTGTAGCGTGCGCGCTGGTCGATGCCGCCCAGCTCGGTGACCAGCACGTACTGGCTGCCGATCATCAAAGCCATGGCCAGTCCGCTGAGTAGCCGGCAGGCGGCGAACAGTGCGTAGTTGGTGGCCAGCGCCGACGTGAAGGCCATCAGCACGATCAGCAGCATGGCCGGCAGGAAGACGGGCCGCCGACCGAAAGCGGTCCACCAGCTGGCCGTCAGCCACGGCGCCTAACAGGCCGCCAGCATCAGCAGCGACTGCAGCAGCGACAACAGCGCTTGCGACCGCACACCAGCGCCCACTCCGTCACCACCGTCGACTCGTACAGCGGACCGGTCGAACACCCAGCGTCGGCAGGCGGCGCTCGCGTTGGGTGGGTGGGCAGCGCTGGGCGGCTGCCGGCATCGAGGCGTACGTGACGTTCGCGGTCGAAGCCGTCGGCGCACTTGAACGGCGGCGTCGCGCCGATGAACATCATCGACATGGAGAAGAACGGCAGGATGAGCCACTTCAGCAGCGACATGTAGGCCAGCAAGCGGCGTCTGCCAGCGGCCGGCTGCCGCACGTCTGTCGCAGGAGGTCCTCGAAGCTCTCCGTGTCGTGCTCGCGGCGTCGCCGTCGGGCCGGGCCGCGTCGGCTGGCTCCGCGGACGGCCGGCCCTTCTGGGCGCCACGTGTCGGCTCCATCAGGGACCGGAGCGGGGCGGAGAGAGGTCCGCCCAACTCATGCGGCAGGAAACGACGCCGTTCAGATCGTTTAAAGCAATGATGATGTTCCCGCATTCATGTCATGTGCACGCAGCGATTCCCCGCCTTGCAACATTTCTAAATCGGGCGCCAACTCATGCTCGGGCGCGAGCAGAATTCAGTGCTTGGGCAATGCCGGCACGAGAACCTCCCTGCGGCAGGGCAGGCAGCGGTGGATATGGCGGAGAAGACGCGTCACGCGAGTTGGCCTTCAATAGAGTCATGGAACAATTGGTAGCCTAGTTCTGAATGATTCGAACTATGCCAGGCTGCCAGAGTTTGTCGATGTGCCCTCCGATCAAGCAGCGACCTTCCGGTCAGGCCAGGCCCAGTAAATGTGAGGGCGGTTTCACGATAGTTTTGCTAAAAAAAAAGAGCTCGCTCCGGCAGAAGTGCTACGACATTGCTTAAACACGACACTAGGGGTACGTGACAACACTTGTGCTGCGGGAACTTATCCTCGTCATTACCTCTACGGGCAAAAACAGACGCAGTCATTACTTATATACGACCCTACTTCTACTGCAGAAACTTATACGCGACAACTTAAACTTATCTGATTTATCCTTACCACTATGTATTCCGTTCTTTATCCCTGTCGACTGTTTGTCCTCCCGACTTTTTCATATTCGACTTTTATCACCTTCCGCCATTTTCGCACGATTGTTTCGTTTGATTTTTGTCACTCGACTTTTATCTCCACTTGACCTGTTGTCCAGGAGCGGGAGTCAGCGACGCCTGCTTGATGTACGTATGCCGAACGCCCGCCATCCTGCATAACGGGCGTCTGGCGTCTATGATGTCTTCCCGGCATGTCTGCCTTCTGACGTCTGGCATTCCTTCCCTTACCTTTATCATTCATTGCCTGATCTTCGCCATCCCTGGCTGGCGTCTGTCATCCCTGCCTGATATTAGTCTTGGCTGTCCGATGCATGCTTACCTGACGTCTGTCCGTCCTGCTCGACGTTTCAGTCCTGCCTGAAGCTTGTCTTCTCCTCCTGACGTCAGCATTGGGCATTGACGTCAATGATGTCATTATCAGAGCAGTTGAGTCCCACCCGTCACACTTGACCTGTGGCAAGATATTGCGCCTTGTGATCCGTGCCGCTGGCCCAGCCTCGACTGTCAGGGCGGTACCTTTGAGGGCTCAGCGTCCTGGGTTATACAACTTCGCTCCGTCCTTTGTCCTGGTCCGTCCAATCCAGAGGAGGCTTCTCATAGGCGCGCGGCTTCTCATACGACTTCGGTACCCAATCAAACGTACTTTCTCTGTGCCTGGACCCGCCGTTGCGCCCACAGTTAGCTTGCGCGGAGCCTGTTTTTTTCATAGCCAATTACTCCGAGATGAGTCCATTCCTTACGTATGACATCATGACACGGGCCCATTCCCTACTCGGCCGCGAGGCGAAGTAAATGCGTTTGTTTATAGTAAGCTGTCGGTGCTTGCACAGCAGCGCCTAGCGGCGGTCGATATGCTGTAGACGGTCCTGTATGTCCGGGAGATAGGCAGATCTTGATTGTATGTGGAAAGTGTGTTAGATAATGAGTGATTTAGCTACAGATAAATTGCCAGTAACTGTTAGTTGAATGAGTTTGTTTGCAGCCAATCATTGTTATGCAGGAACTTGCCGATTCCAGTAATTGAATTGAGCTCCCTGACAGGTCACAAGGTGGTTTGTGATGGACCTCGTCATTTGCCCGAAATAATCATCAGCGTACGAGGTAAGCCGGCAATTCATTTGCGTTTTATTTTGGACCACAGCAAATATTACGCAAGCTATCCGTTCCCGATCCCCGTACCAGCCGAACTATATCATAATCTAAAAGTGGTTCATGGTCAGGAGAAGCTGGAACGCAACGATCCAAGTATCCCGCACTAAATTGGTGCATTTTGTGACAAAAATACAGCACACTTTTAATTTGCATGTGGTCGCACAATCCGCACCACGCCAGTGCTGGTTGCCCGGTCCAATGCAGCCAGACACTCTGTTCGTCGTAAACAAATGACTGGAGGTGTTCAAACCAGCGTTGAATGCACTTGGTGCATCTGATAAGCCATAAATTCAGAAGCCGGCAACTCAGAAGTTAAGCATTTCCGTTCTGTTTGACCGAAGCCCAATCACTAACCAGTTGAATAGTTGAGAACAGCCAAGAACACTCAAGAGCAACTCAAGAATAAAAGGGCTCAGGGAACTCTCAACACTCAAGAACAAAAGCGCACGATTTCGGTTTACCAGAATGTTTGGTGGCAAACCAGATATCCCATGTCATGTAGTCGCAGCGCGCGTTGTTCAACAATCTCCAATGCCGACATTCCGTGTATCATCACGTTTCACCTCATGTTCGCTCAACTCTGCACTGGCATAAACCATAACGCACTCCAAAAATGTTTCCGACCAGTGCGCACCATAAGCCGCCGGCATCATGAATGAAGGTGGACTTCGAGCAAAGTAAGTGATTTACCGTTTTTTTTTTCACTCTCACGAGATTTGGCCAAACTGAATGGCTTCTAGAAGGCACAGACGCCTAAATATCACGCATGAAGCCGTTTGAAACAAATAATCCACACGTTTAGAGAGGGCGAAATGAACAAAATTTCGGATCCTTGATTTGTAACACAATCTTTTCTCTCATCAATGTCATAGTTAAAAACGCGACAAAATGCACAGCCTCACCCAATCTAATACTTTAAACGCTTCGTTCATGCACATAACCCAACTGAGGTTGCTTTATTAGCCCACCGGTTGATGAATTTGCAGTGCGGTGTTGACGGCGTCATTCCAGTGGGGAGTGGGAAGACAGCACAAGTGGGAAGACAGCACACGGAGAAATGATTCGCAAGGACCTCGCTAAAGTCAACTCGTCCTGAGCTCGCCACCCTACCGGACTGTCGCGGTCCTCGGAGGCCTTGCCGTGATCTGTTACGGCCGCTGGTGTAGCGCTCCAGCCGATGCCTTCCGTCCCGCGGCTGAGTCTGGCGGACTGCGTGGTGCAGCGCGCCGGCCCGAGGTCGCGGGGAGGGCGGTGTTGCGAGCCGCCCCCCGGAGTCTTCCGGGAAGGGAAGACTCTCTGACCACTCTCTCTCTCTCTCTCTCTCTCCTCTCTCTCTCTCTCTCTCTCTCTCTCTCTCTCTCTCTCTCTCTCTCTCTCTCTCTCTCTCTCTCTCTCTCTCTCTCTCTCTCTCTCTCTCTCTCTCTCTCTTCTGTCTCTGTCTCGTCTCTGTCTCGTCTCTGTCTCTGTCTCTGTCTCTGTCTCTGTCTCTGTCTCTGTCTCTGTCTCTGTCTCTGTCTCTCTGTCTCTGTCTCTGTATCTGTCTCTGTCTCTGTCTCTGTCTCTGTCTGTCTTGTCTCTGTCTCTGTCTCTGTCTCTGTCTCTGTCTCTGTCTCTGTCTCTGTCTCTGTCTCTTGTCTCTGT